ATAAACGGCTGTAATGGGTTTAGGTTATTACTGTTAATTGATTTACTCAGTGAGTTATTACCGTATAATACTGTTTTAATATCGTATCCTTGAATATAAGAAAACATAGTTGTTCTTACGTTTTGATAACTTCGACATGAGAAAAGGTAGTGAACAGTGTCTTCGCTATCGTGACCAGATGAACATCTGGATTTTTCCGATATGTGTCGATTAGACATGCCACGTTTTAGGTCCGGTCTGAATCTTTTGACAAATCATTATTTATAATTGCGACTGCTGTAATATGATCACCTATTATAACATATATCGATGTATCGTCCACAAAAAGGCGCAGATGTTGCTATTTATACAATCAACAATATCATTAACATAGATGATGAACAGAAGAGGTCCTAAAACGGAACCTTGGGGCACGCCAGCTTCCACAGATTTAATATCTGAACAGTAGCCATGTACCTTCAAGTACAATGTGTGAAGCCCATTTCTGGTGTCTCCCGTGATATTGCTGGAATATTGCTAGAAGCGGCGTAAAATTAAACTCACTCACTTATGTACCTTCAAACTTAATCCTTCTTGTAGAGTTGATATCATTTGTTGATTAATACAAGCTAGGCCTAGGAAGCAGGGAGCACTAATTAGGACTGTTCCATTTCAGCCATGGGTGTTGTCTTAATTAATTTCCCTCATTAGTGCCTAAGATATGGGTGTCTAAGTTTTGGGAGATAACCCTTTTGGAAATAGATATGTTTTACAACATAGTGTCAGTCAGTTTTAATGACTCTGACCAAATGTTTCTCTTCTGGTTGACACAGTGCAGATACTAACTTATGTGTTTATAATGCAACTCGGGAACTTCACTCCAACAGCAGAACAAACCTGCACCTAATTCAAAAACCAAACATGTCTATAATGAAGTCACTGGAAAAACTGAATGATCAACAAATCCTGCCAACACGACATGTGTATATAATAGTGATTAGTTTCAGTTCATCAGCAAGTTCATTTACGCGTTAGTCCATTAAATGAATTTAATTCCTGCTTAGACATGTAAACATATTTTTGGGATCCATTGTTTCAATTGTATCGCATGGTGAAAACCACTGGATTGTCTGGTCCAGACTCGATTTGTTAACTTACAACGTCGTACAGCTGTAATACTGCTGAGACAAATATATTTTCGTGCCGTAGTCACAATTGTACAATCGACTCTGCTTTTAGCAGAGATTTCTTATGGGTGTGGAAAGGACTTTGCCGCTTCTATACACAAACCAGTTTAATACCCATTGGTTGTCCAGTCATTAACGGGGAGAGTTCTATGGATAGAATGCCTCTTCCGTGGAAGCCTCGGTAGCGGAGTGGGTCAGATCACTGAGTTTGTTTGCTGACGATTAGGAGCTTTGCGTTGAGAGTGTGGTTTCGAATCCCGGGTGGTACTCACCCCCCAATAAAGCACTAGCATCTGTTTTGCCCTTTACGCCCACTGGAAGCAATTTGGGAGTATTGTTGTGTGAAGTATAAGGAACTGACACATGCCTTTATTGGTAACTGTGGTTATCTGTATTATATGGTAGTGTCCTGGAACTGGCCGGTAATTCTTTAAGTACGGAGAAGATAAATAGTCCAACAGTATGTAAGGATACAAGGGTCCAGTCAATATACAGGCCCCTCCTATAGGGAAACCATCGCCCGGGTGTGAGTGATACAAAACTGATACACAGATGTAGTGGCTTCAACTGGAGGATAACTTATCAGTGCGCTGGCATTGACTCACATGGCAAACAACAAAATATATTTGTTCATTGTGTTTCATCTGAAAGACAATGGAGTGGTGTTTTCCTTGTTGTGTTTGTTTCATTTTCATGGAATATTTCTGCGAAAGTGTAATTTAGCTCCTAAACTTATGACTGACAGAGTTTGGTTTTACGCCGCTTTTAGCAATATTCCAGCAATATCACGGAGGGGGACACCAGAAATGGGCTTCACGCATTGTACCCATGTGGGGATTCGAACCCGGGTCTTTGGCGTGACGAGCCAACGCTTTAACCACTAGACTACCCCACCGCCCCCTTAAACTTATGATGTTGATTTTAAACCCTGACACGAGCAAACAGTTGTTGCTCGGCATGTCTACATGTCGTCATTTAAAATGAAGTCAGTGAGACATCTTTTAATTTGTTAATATATTGATGTTGGTAGGTGGGGGAATCCTGTATTATTTTAGAAACCGGAAGCATTATGCATATTCCCGCATATACGCTCGTTTAATTCCTTTGTCCAAGGTATTAGGAATGTGCTGCAACTGATATATTTTTGGAGAATCCAATCTGGTTTTTCTTTACACTCCACAACATTCACACCCGAGAAACATAGAACAGTCAATCCCTACGCTTCAACATGTGTAGTGTACCTCAAGGCCGCAATTACGTGGGAGTGTATTATTCAAGTCATTTTCAACAATTCTCTTTTCATGCTTTAGCGTCTAAAGTAATATGGACTTTTGAAACAGTTGATTGGTCATAGTTAAACCAAACTTCAAATAAAGCAACTAATATCTTGAAATCTAAACGATTTATTACATCTACCTGGAAAACATGGCAAAAAGACCACAATTAAATACAGCACATGAGGATGTGGTAATATCACACACTCCTAACGAATGGTAGACTATTTACAGTGAAGAGTACCAAACTTGTACACACGTAAGACAATCATCACTGAGTGACCACACTCGAAATTGCCCAGTAACGAGCACAGAGGTTGTTTAACTAAAGGTTTCAATGAAAATGGGTTCCTCCGAGCAAGTATTGTCCAGCGTGATGAAAAATGTAAACCTCAATGTAAACGCCACATCAGTGACTTTCTTCTATTGTGAATCGAGTTCAAGATGTTTACTAACAAACAATGTCGTGTTTGTATCACGCAGGTCAAGCCAGCTATGACATCGTACGTTCATGTTTCTGACGTTTCGTTATGTAAGGTCTTTGAATGGCATTTAGAAGTATTACACATATTTTGAATGCGTAGTTGTCAGATATCTCGCAACTGAAGGTGATGATTACTTTGTCCATACACTTGAGGTAACCTTATTGTCTACATAACGAAGGGGAAGAGAGTTTTTTATTGGTTGTCAACTTCTTTATCATGAGGGACACAACGTTTCGGAATAAATCCTTACTCCTTCATCAGGTGAATGAATGGTATCAGACCGAGAGCATAGATATGTATCTGTAAGAACTCATACCATTTATACTCCGAAACGTGAATGTGTTCCTCATAATAAAGAAGTTGACATCCATAAAAACTATCTTCCTTTTCGTTATGCTGACGTTAAAGTTACCTCAAGTGTATGGGCAAATTAATCATCACCTTCAGTTGCAAAATATATCTGAAAACTAACTTCTTGATATTCGAATGATGTATTCAATCTACTAAGTATTAAATATGGAGGCAAGGAAAGGTGATATCAATATATACACACACATGTTCAAACTCCCCATAGGTTATTTGCAACAAAATATGATTTTGACTGAAAAATGATGTTGAATAAGAACCCTCTGTTCGGGCACTCCCCAGTAGGACACCACTTGACCTACGGCGTTACTGTCCATGGCTGCCAACATATGTGTTCACGGTGTTAACAGAATGCATGAATCCAGAGGGCTACTCCAAATTAATAATTTACTGGTGGAGACCAGCCCCCTTGCTCAGCTACCAACTGAACCACCCTGAAGCTTGGCTGAATACTGCCCTTCTCAACCGCAAAAGAGAGGGCTTTGTGAGACACAATAGACTTCTGTGTTTTTTTACCAACTTTTGCGACACATCTATTAGTTCGTTTTACGTTTGTGCTGTGTGTGCAAAGATATAGGTGTAACATACCTTATTTGGATAATATATTACTAAGAAACGCGAATTCTTCAGTTCTACGGTAGAATACTCAATAACATCTATTTAGAAAATATCAGTATTACCTCATCTACCATGTAGGAGGAAATTGCCCGATAGACAGCATTGAGGTTGTTTGACTAACGTATGAGTGATCCCAACGTGTTTTCACTAAGAAAGTAATCTCCATAAGATAACGTCAAACAACACGTCAAATCTCTATAGCGATAAAACGAGGCTGATGTTTTCTAAACCGTTACATTAAAAATGTACATGTATTGCATTTTAAGATTTCATTAACCCTTGATATACCAGTCTATGTATCCAAGACTAAGAGGGTGCAAATATGGTCGCACATTCTGCCTTCTACACTCATTTGTAGAATCATTGGCGCCTTGAGATAATGGTTGAACTATGTATTTCGAAGATGGTTATATATGTACCCCTCATTCAAACTAGCACGTTTGAAATTCTTCTCTTTGAGAACTAAAACATACAAACAGGGACTCTTTCAGCACTCATCAACCTAAATGGTCGATGATACATCAATCAGGCATATGGCGAGATGGAATTGAGTATTTCAAACTATTTGTCTGACTCACTGCGTAAGGCATGTTGCACCGAAAGTTTACACTGCTTCTATTTTTTCCATATTACATCATATGGCCAGGATTTGTACTGACTTGGGTCCAGTTTCGCGCCGCCAATACTTGGAGCGTATGCTGAGTACTTCATTTCCACTAAGAGTTTTACCAGTTTTTCACCATTAACGTCTGTTTTCATAAGTACCCACTCCATCAGAATTGCAGGAACCTCTATCTCTTGGAAAAACCTCTTTGCACCACTCAGAACATAATACTCAAACTCTTGCATGTCCATTTTTAAAACGGCTTTCTTGAATGGCAGGAAGGGTAATGTATCGTCAAGGGTTATTGTATACGAGTCAGCGGGTTCCTCGCACGGGGATTTAGTAGAAGACCCAGAAGATGCTATAACGCTTGTCCCTCCAACGTTGCCAAATTCACGCTTGAAATTAACGAAGGAGTGATTGAATCCTAGTGGATTAAATATGATTGTCATCCTGTCAGTGAAACCACCTTTCTGAATGGACTTACACAGTCTCTTGACATTCTCTATGAGCGGATCCACAGATATCACCTTCCTCCCAAACTTGGCCACAGACAGAGAGAAGGCGCCAACGTGAGACCCTAAATCCATGAAGCCAAGTTCAGGATCCTTTTTTAATTCTGTCAAAATGAGATTGACGTTTACGGGCTCCCACGATCCCGTCTCTTTAATGGTCTTAGAAACATACTTATCAATCACGATGTCGTGTACATGGATCGGTGTCTCTCCAGATGTTGTCTTCAGAGTAACACAGTCAACGTGAACTGTCCATGTGCAGAACTCGTGAAGCTGCTGCATCTCTCTTCCGTTGAATCTGTACACTAAAGTTTTACCAGGACTAGAAGCGGATCTAGATGACGGTCTATCGATCGGACGTTTATCGGACTGAAACGGTATGTTAGGATCTACATTTACGTGTACTGGAGGTCCCTCAGCATTGATAGCAGACATTGAAACGACGGTCCTGCTGTCATCAACCACCCTGTATGAGAAATGAGGCAGGAAAACGTGTTCCACGACCAGCATGCAGAGAGCACCAGCACCCATGAGAAACACCATAGACGTTTGACGAAAGGATGGCATTGTGGTTTTGGATGACAGTTGGCGCCAGGGGAAATCTGAAATCGGGATGAATAAAAGAAAATTCAGTTTCGTAGCAGACTGTAATTTTTTTTCCAGAAATTTCCATTAATTTTTTTAAATGATCTGCAAAGATGACTTTAACCGTGTCAAAAGTCAGGATGAACCTGTTGACTCTCTTACAGATGCACAAACTGAAAATGAGGAAACAGGGCGGCACTGCTCCTTGAACAGTGTATGTCTATTGCTATCCTGTCAACAAGGCAACTAACCTCTGATTGCCCATTTTCCAGCCACAAGATATGACTTGTTCCTGGATTTAGTTATTCACCCATAACGCTGTAACATGTCCCAAGAAGTCTGCCAAATCCAACCGTCAGTGCCATCAACTTTTGATCCATATTTAGTTCCTCATTTCAACAGGAAAACAAAACTTCAAAAAATCCTTACCAAGAAATAGAAATTCTAGAAATGTTTACAAACCCCTATATCTTAAACATAATACTGAATACAATCATGGAAGGACTTTCTAAATATTCATTTTATTCGAATAAAGTGAAATGAGTACCATATTGATCTCATAAAAGAGCCAACTTCAATGTTGTCAAGATATCTGATTTTAAACTTAGTCCTTCATTTCCACACTGCAACCCAAACGAAATGACTACATGTTGAATGTAGATATACCGCTAGATTAATTTCTATCTCCAAAAATACAACCAAATGTCGGTTGAAATGTACGTCCTGTTCTGCATAATTGCCACCTTGAACTGCTTCGATATTGTATTTGGGTAAATACATGAACGTTCTGGAATATTCAGAATGGTTCGAACGTTTCCGTTATTTATGGGTATATGGGTGCTGGTTGTCTTCTTTACTATGTTTTGCACTTAAAGTTTGTTTGAGTAGCAACTACATGTAAAGAATAACCTCAGCTTTGTAAACAAAGTGATCATGGCCAAAGCTCTCAAAGGGAATGCTTAAATACAGGTATCAGTTCATTGTCAAAATCCAAACGTGTTAACAGTTGATAAAATGTAAACTTGTAGATCAGATTGTTAAGGTGCAATCACTATATCATATCATGAAGGCCTGAATTTATCTGCTTGTTAAAATGCTCATCCGTGGTATCAAATGTTTGTTGAAGAACACTCTCAACAGCCTTTGCCACCTCCTCATGGTGATGGGTACAATGTGTGAAGCCCATTTCTGGTGTCCCCCGCCGTGATGTTGCTAGAATATTGCTAAAAGCGGCGTAAACCCAAACTCAGTCAGTCAGTCAGTCCTCATGGTGATGGGTACAATGTGTGAAGCCCATTTCTGGTGTCCCCCGCCATGATGTTGCTGGAATATTGCTAAAAGCGGCGTAAACCCAAACTCAGTCAGTCAGTCAGTCCTCACGGTGAACCGCCATATAGCTGGAATATTGCTGAGTGCGGCGTAAAACTAAACTCACTCTCTCACTCCTCTTGGTGAAAATTTGCATGCGAGAAGATGTTCTAGTCCGAGGCCCAGGCGTTATCCTTCTTCAAGTATACAAACGGACGAAATACATGATTAGGTAAAGTCGAATGAGTAGACAGTCAATGCCAATTCTGACGACCCATCTTCTCCGAAAGCATGTATAAGACATAAGTGCAATAGAATTCCCAGTCTTGACAATTATAAGAAGCAAATAATGAATGTACGTATGTAAAAACCTGTGAAAATCATATGAACGGATCATTGGAAATCAGTGATGAAAAGCACCTTCTGCTCCTAATTTTCCCATATGTAAGTATTTACAGCCCGGCGGCAATTGACGTCCATAAACACCCTGTAGTATGCGAAATCCTCGACGATAAGTGATCCCTTCCTCCAACCGCACTAAGTATGAGACATTCTATTCAACGGTATCAGTCGCTTGGCAATACCCTCTTATGTCTGGGTGGACAATGTCAGTCAGCAAAGTGCTAATTATTTATGGACGTATTTTGTTAACGTGTAGTCTGGCAAACAACACGACGGGTATTTGGTGATGGCTATGAACACCCGGCCAGACTACAGTCCGTTTGATTTCATTTGAGACCGATGAATGCTCACTTACACAAAATCTAACAATTGCAACACAACCAAATTTTGCACAGTCACATGAAATCGACAGACCAACTTTAACGACTGTCGCATAATTTTGGACACCCGAATAAAAAAGTTGATAATCGTTTGTTAAACAACTTTTTTATTCGGGTGTCCAAAATTATGCAGTTGGTCTGTCGATTTCATATGACTGTGCAAAATTTGCGTTTGTTGCAAATGTTAGATTTTATGTTAGTGAGCAATTCATCGGTCTCAAATGAAATCAAACGGACTGTATGTGGACACTGACAGTATCCCGTCAAACAACATCAACGAAGCCATGGTCATCAATACTGTTCCATGAAGTATGCAGATAAAGTGTAACTCGGTCGCTCTTTGTCAACGACAAATTTATCTGGTGTACAAGTTGTATCATGTTTTCTTTCATCTTTACAACTTCTAAAATGCCTCTCAAAGAAGTTATCATGTTTCGCTGTAAGTTGTGACAGTTACAAATGGCGTTAACCCTCAAATTGTAGCATGTTGGCTATTACCATGTTTCGCTGTAAGACAGTTAAAAATGACGCAATCTTACCCACACACCTACTGAGGTCATATTCAATACACACTGTGATTCGGATATTTGAGTGTTTGATGATGCCGGTAGATCATGACATGCTTACTCATATATTTTACGTCCCATTCGAGTATTAAAAAAACATAAAACCAACATGTTCAACAAGGCTATCGGTTTGGTTTGTGTCTTATAACACATTACTTTTAGAGGGTATGCTAGTTTTGTTTATCGGGAGTACCTGTAACTTGCAATAAATGTCCTAAGACGATTAATACGGATATGCCCGATATACTCCCCAACCAGTATGGGTTACATTTTCTCAAGTTTGGGTTGGTTACATTTGTTTCTGATTATCAAGACTTCGGCATGCGTCCTGAGACCCAACCTCGGGGGTTGGTTTGGTGGTGATGGCGGCCTTTCCATATTTGACATACCAGGGACAACCACCATGTTGTCCCATACAAATCTCCTTTTGGGGTTGAACCAATGTCCACGTGGTTGTGTTACCCGGTATACGATTGTATTGACATTGATAAGTTTGTTCTTAGTCACGTAGGTTGGTGATTGCGAACTTCATTCCGGAGAGGTTGAAAGCGTGCAGTCTGTCAGATATCTGATATGGCTCTGTTATAGATAGGGCTCTGTCGCTTTAGTTACTGCACATTGCCTGAGATATTATCATGTGACACCATTGCCCTTTCAGGGCGAAACCATTAGACCTGTGCAAAGCCATGGAGGAGCATGAAACAGTGAAGTAATGTTGTTTACCGGTGTGGAACGCCATAAGGCCCTGGTGACTTTTTAAATGTGGAGTTTTTAATAACACATCTCAAGCACCTGTGATGAAGCAATTAAGGTACTCAATAGATAATGTTACTGTATCCCAATGCCAACAGTGAACATTTCACAGACATTGAAAACCAATCATCGTTACTGCAACATAAGCCGGGTATGTAGTAGAGGATAAGAGAATATCATATTCTGTGATTCACATGAATGAGACAAGAAAAGACCAGAATGTCAATGTACATGCGACAAGAACTTGAAAACTACAGATAAACATTACCCAGAAAACACGTGTGTGCCACAGCCAGCGGGGTGAATACAATGGCATAATTGTTTTGAATGGGATCCGAGTCTTAAGGTGGGTCGGGGGCAATTCTCATTTTGATCCAGCTAGAGGAATAGATTGAAACATCACTTATGATATTCTTATGGCGAGACACAGCTTACAAGTTGACTTTTAAGAGTATATTCTTCTTTTACGAATATATGGCCCCCCCCGGATATCGCCCGATTCTAATATAACGACAACAATAATATTTTATTACAACTAATTTGCTGTGGTGATGATGAACTGGGACAAGTGAAGCAACTGGTCAAGGTGTTTGATAGCTAGCTTCAGCATTGCTCCAATGCATTATGTAATAAGCATGAATCATAAATGTCTATAGCAACAATATCGGCTTTTCAGGAATAGTTAAACCCACTAGTAGTATGCTACTATACAATGGACATGGACACGCGATCATTAACAGTTAAACCCACTAGTTGTATGCTACTATACAATGGACATGTACATGGACACGCGATAACAAGTACAACAAGTACAACAAGTATCTCACTGTGTGATTTATTATATACCCAAGTAAACTTAGGATAATAATACAGGGTTGCAATACGGATGACGTGGTCAAATTCCGTATTGCACTCCAGATTCTGTATTGAATAATAATAATAATAATAATAATAATAGTTCATTTATAAAGCGCATATTTCCATGCACAATGCATGCTCAAAGCGCTGATGTCAGGACTAAAAGGCTTTTTGGAAAAGGTGGGTCTTTAGCGATGTTCGAAATGTTGAAAGTTCTGTCATTTCTCTCAAATGTTGTGGGAGATGATTCCATTCTGAGGCTGCAGCATAAGAGAAAGTTCTTTGACCAAATTTAACTGTTCTGACTTTAGGAATACACAGAAGATTATGTTTCTCGGAGCGGAGGGATCTTGTTGGTTTGTATGGAGAAAGGAGGTCGGACAGATATTGAGGTGCCGGTTCTACACTGCTACGCTATGATTTGTTTTATTAAGTAACATATTAATGCAAGATAACAGGGTATATAATAAACATACTAGTGCATTTGGATGTTTTGTATCAAAGGAGAAGATGTCATGGGAGCAGAGAAACAAAACAGTTTCGAACCAGTTGTTTCTCTGCTCCCATGACATCTTCTCGTTCAATACAAGACATCCAAATGCACTAGTATGACGTTCTATATATGTGTTTAACTGGATCAGCAGTAATATGTCATCTCCCATCTTTTCTGGTTGGTTTATCCATACATTCGACAGCTAATTATGAAATGTAGAGTGAATTCATACACAGGGGTCCAAATTCATCCTTCTG